CACTGGGACAAAGAAACGGAAAATTTTCTGTAAATAGCGAACGTAAAACTTTCTCTTGATTCTACCTTGAGTTGATTTTAAGATATTTTTCGACTCTACGTATTTTTAATTTTCCATTGTAAGAGAATCCTGCGACAGTTCTTAAACCCTTACTGAAACTTTCTTTGCACTGACGGAACCAGGTTTGCACATTTTTCTCTTAATTAGTAGTAATAAATAGTTTTTTTTTCTTTTCATTCATTTAGGTAAACTCATGCTCATTAGGTAAACTCATGCTGCGTTGATATTCTTGCCTCGGCAAAAGCTGAACTACAGTTCTTAAATTTTCAGGTTGTAAACCTTGGTTTATTTCTTTTATTCATTTATTTATTTATTTTTGCTGCAGATACATTTAAAGACATTGGAATTGATTTCTGCGTCGGCAGGTTTCCTTTTGTCCCCATCAATTTAACTTTAAAAATATTCGAAAGAGTATGTGCATTTTTTCGTTATTATTTTGGAGTCTTCCTTCCATGCAGAAAAAAATTATTGACGATTTTACCTACCCGATTAGTAATTTTGCTTATTTTTCACTCATAAATTTTAGTACGATTCAATTCACAACAGTTTTGAATTATGGAATAGGAATATTCCTGGTCGGAATAGGCGAAACATATCCTTCCGTTCACAGCTTGTTCACATGCGACCTTTTGAAAACATAAATTTAAAAGTAGCAGGAAATATATCTGATTTCAAGTAATAAATTCTTGCCAGAAATTTTTATTTCAATATAATCATTTTGTTTTAAATTCTTTATGGAAATCTTTCTAAAAAGTTGTAAACATCCTCTGTGTTGTTGCCGCTTTAGGCCTCTATATTTTCTTTTCGCCAATACTTTTGGCACAGATGAAGAGGGAGATCTACATACGATAAAGCTTACCACAAAAGTTTTGCATATCATTAAAGATACACGAAGTTATATAAATATAATTAATGTATAATTATATTCAGATATTTTGCATTAACTGAATCCGCTAATGCTTCTGACGTATGCTACGAGGAAAAAAAGACATTTAATATTTAAAAATGTCTAAATTGCTTTCTTAACTATCTTTAATGTGGCATTCCTTATATTTTATTTCAAACTGACGTTACCTTTGAAAATGAGCTTAGATACACAACATGCATTCCTTAAGGCAACCAGTGGTCGAAGTGGTAAGACTGCTGAAACACTGCTTGTTCAGCCCAAAATCAAATCCTGGTTGAAGGGCTGTTTATATTTACGTGTTTTCTTCTCAGAGTGTAACAAGAATGCGAATTAGTTTTCTTACAGAAAATCTTATTAGAAGGCAATTCTATCTTAAGTGGATGCTCCTAATGTGCCTTACCATAATCTAATAAATACTGTTGCATGTTTACAGGTTCGCAATAAATTGAATGCACGCAAGTCCGTTGATAGGTTGATAAAATGTATTTTATCAAAAGAAACACTTAAGATTTCCTGAACTTTCCACAAAAATAGTGCTACAACTCTTCACAATATCACAAAGTACATTCAATACGTTTCAATCTAATATGAACGTTAAACACAACTCACTCAATACAAAACGCGATTAAAGAAAAAGCTACATCAGTACTCCGAACTGACGCTGAGCTAACAGCTAAAACTAACTGGGAGCAGATGCTTTCTCCGGCCTTATGTAGTTTTCAAATCGGCCGCCGAGATATTTCAAGTACTTTCTCCTTTTCAAAATTACTGAAAGAAATGTTGAATTAAGGTTACAGCTAATGTATTTATCAATTAGCTTTGTTCAATTGCGGTACATATTAAGGTGATGCAGGGATCGGACCAAAATGACGACAAATAGTCGCCAAGTTTGGCAACTTTTTTCGATTTCTCACCAAATTTAATTACAAAAATTAGTCAATAAAACGTTGCCAACTTGGCGATATTTTGCCAAATTATCCGATACCCATTTTATCAATGTTAAATGAACTTGATGCTGTATTTTTACTTTTACGGCATAGCTTGGCTCTTTAAATTATTTTCGCGTTATATTACAGAGAAAAATACAATACATTTCACACGAACATCATCTATCAATGTACAAAGTTGTAACAGTATATAGTCTATTTCTTTAATTCTGTGCAAAATAGTGTGCCTTGAGTCATCTGCATTAGAGCTGTCCACTGGTGGCTAATTATTTAAAATTACTAAAAGGGATATCTTTTTATGGTTCTTCCTTTCTCCTTGCTATTCTGAAAGCAACTTTTCCACAAGCGGTGTCTCGGCCAAAGGTACTGGCATGTTTATGAAAGATGCTTTTATGTTAAAATTTGATCTTCTTGTTATTTGCATTTAGTTTGTGCTGGAAATGCTGCTATCTCGGCGAACAGTTAACTACTAACATTATCATATCTCAAACCACAAACGTCATATGAAGCAGTCTTATCAAGTCATTTGGGCTTCACATGTGATGACGCTAAGGAAATGACGCTCCACGAGTAGTACAGATTATTGTCCGTCATCTTGCCATTCTATTCGCATTACTTCCGTTTCTATGGAAGCTGACATTGCAGAGCAGTACGTTGTATGTACTGTAAAAGTTAGATTTACGTACCTGAAACACTACGTTACGTTAGAAACAGCTGTTCAAATAGTGGAAAAATTTTCGAAAGTTTGAAAATGGCAGTTTAAACGACCAAAAAATTTCGAACTCGTCAGAGTAGTTTCCAAACCTAAATTTGTTAAGAAGCAGCTATGCAAATACGATACACTAATTTATTTCAAAGCCCGTCATTCTCACTCTTGCCGGACCTGGCAAGAGTACGTCCCTGAATTTGAGATAATCTCAAAAGGAAACTGCTTTTTCATTATATATAGTGAAGTAACTTCCCATTGAAATATGTTTGAAATGACCTTCATCGATAAATATGCACTCGAAAAGAACGGTTTCAGTCTAATAAACCTCTCTCTGGGAATGAAAGAACTGATGAAACGACAATAACTTAAGGATGAAGAGAATTATCCATTTCAAGCGAGCATCGAAAACTTTGCTATTCGTTTCCTGCCGCTCTATCCGAAATGCAAAAGAGACTGAAGAGGCTGAAATCATTAAAAAAATAGTCAGTAATTGCGAGATCAGTTATTAGATGAGATGGCAGGGAAATGATTCAATGTACTGTAGTATATACACGATTTCAGTATAATGCTTTTAACAAACATTTAAAACAGCAAAAGAATTTATTCTACACTTTGTTCTAATAAATCCTGTGCAATTTAAACTCACATGAAATACAAATTAATTCTTGTGTTGATTTTTCAATATGTACGCAAGGTTATGCGGAAATTTCAGTTGGGCACCAGTGTGTTGTGTAGTACATTTCTAATTAAGTATTACTTATATAAATTATTCTAAATTTCGACTACACAACGATTAAATTATTTAACGAAGGTATTGTTATTTTTAAGGGTTTCAAAGTGCGCCCTTTTAGTAAATGAACTAGCCATTTAATATAATTTTTGAATGTTTTCTGGATGAATTGAAAAGATTTTAGGAGCCAGGAATTTTTTTAAGCTCTTGATTTTTCTATTATTTTGGGGAAATTGATTGAAGTATGAATATTTCTTCTCTTGTGTTTATGAGGATTTTGAATAAAAGAAATTAAACTTAGTTGCTCTTGAGTTAATTAGGGAATTGATAAATATGTAGTTTATGTGAATTGAAGAATTATTGTTTAGTTGGAGAGATGGGATTCTATTTTATCCGAGCACCAGGCAAGTCTTGTTCTTCCTTATTTCTCAGGGTAAGCTCATCAAGTGTGATTTTGCATTGATTTAGTAAATAGTTTATTGAATGAATAGTTTATTGATTTAATGTAAAGAGAGTCAGAACAATCACACAGTTCCTCCTCTACACAGCTTAGGATTCAGACTTTTCAGGTATTAATTTGAATTCAGTACATATATATTTTTAGAATACTATTTTGTGTCAGGCACCAACGGAGTAAATTACTAACGAGTAAATACCAATGAATTTTAGGTACCACCACCTTTTTCCTAAATATAACAGGTAGTAAAAATGTAACAAGTTTGGGCACCGATAAATAATTGAATTTCTTCTACATTTATGCAAAATGAATTAAATTAAGGTATTTTGAAATGATCTAGAAGCGTTTTACTCAAAAAAAAAATTGTTTTAAGTTTGCGATGATGTATAGTTTTCGTAACACTGCACGAAGTATGGAATAAGTTTAATTTAAGTTTATCTTATCTATAAACAAGAAAATTTCTGAAAAGTAATAACAGTATAAATTAATAAATATGCGAGTTTATGTGCATCTTTACCATTTATTAAATCATTCTTTAGTTCACTCATTCTTTCTAAACATATATGATTTGAATATTTGTAAAATTACGTTGACAGTTTTTTTTCTTAGCAGTGAAAAAATGTTTTTACAGTAAATTATAAGAAATGCGTGGCCGATATTAAGCTAGAAAAAAATTCGATCTTGCTTTGTAATTGATGTCTTTAGTCAAATACTTAATGATTGACATAAAATTTTTAATGGGATTTGAATAGTTTTCTATAATCAAAGAAATTGTGAAGCAGATATTTATAAATTTTGAAATATTAAACGTACACTTTTTTCTTTCCATGAAGTTCTATAAATGTTTGAACAATAATATTGGAATTATATCATATTCTGTTTTATGCTATTTAAATTTATATACAACTTATGGAAAAAAGGACGACAAAACACAGTGAATGTTATAGGAATGTCGCGTGTCTTCCCTTGGACTTTCTCAACCTTTTCGGCACCCCTGCTGGAAATTATCAGATACCTCCTTCAGAACAGGGGACATTCAAGACGGGAGGCAAAAGAGAATCTCCCTTTCTCCAGTTCCTAACTTGTTTGCACTAAATTAAAAATACTCAACTACTGACACTTTTCTTTATGTGAGGCAATATATTAATTAGGTGAGTTAAGGACTACATTATATTAAGTATAAGACCAAATTAAACAAACAATGCCTTTAATACAGAATTTAATGCTACAGAAATTTCTCCAAGCATTACGGATATAACCCTCAAATTTCAAAGTTTCTCAGAATGTCATGAATAAATTGTATTTTCTTAATTATGTTTAAAAAAATTGTTCTTTCACTTTGTACCTTGATTCTGTTTCTTCTAATATATATCCAAACTGAAATCGGATATATTAAAAGCTCGCAGATATTTTCATGTGTTATGAATAAGAAAGCCAGTCTTCTATACGGAATTTTCAGTCTGTTACGCTGAGAGAGTTAACAAAAGCTGCTCCTAGGAGATCCACCTGTAGTAAATAAAAAATTTAATACAGTAAATGATTTGATATAAACAAATGACTGATATATATCTGATAAAATTTAATACAGTAAATGATTTGATATAAACAAATGACTGATATATATCTGATAATCTACTAGCATAATTATAGCAATATAATTTTATACAATAGGTTTTTGCTCAAAGCTAATCGAACTGTGAATACTGTGGTGTCTGAACAGGATAAACACAGAATACGACGGGCTAGATTATTGGAATATAGCAAAGCCCACGAAGGCTAGCTGTTCAACGAGATGGATAATGTTGTAGAGGACGTTTTGAGGAAAATTGGCATAACGTTACACTGGAGAATAATAACCAAGCAACCAGGCCGTTCCCTTGGAAGGGAAACAAATCCTCATTCAGGCGTAATTCAGCGGTCTTAAGCAGTCTGTTTCTAATTGCAGCCGGCTGCACTTGGCTGCAATTAGAAACAGACAGTAGCGTTTAGTAATTTTATTCATCGGCCGAACAAATCTTCATTCAGAGCGTAATTCAGCGGTCTTAAGCACTCGGCTGCTGATCGGGCAATTAGAAACAGACAGTAGCGTTTAGTAATTTTATTCATAGGCCGCTTACTCAGACAGAGGTGATCAGGAGAATAAGTTGTTAAGCAGATGTTTTATAATACCCGAGTATATTATAGCCACGAATTTCTTACAGATTCCGTACAGTAACAGAAAATTACATTAGATTTAATTAAATGATGATATGATTTATCTTTGCATTTGTCTGCATTTTTTTATTGCACATATTTGCGGATTTTTCGCTTTAGCTGTTGATCTTCCACAAAAGATATTTACTTTATTTCTTGCAGAAAAAATTTGAAAAAAAATTGAATCTATATACGTTTAGTGATCCCCCCTTGTGTTGTGTACACTGACTTAGTATTTGACTATGATAGTAGCAGCTCTGGGTATTCAATAACACGGACCTGGTACCTACGACCAGAAAAGGCAGCCCATGCGGTTTCCTAGGTCGTGGCTAAGGCCATCTGACTGATCTAGGGCGACAATCAGTAAGTAACACGATGTCTATAGTTTACCTACCCGATTGGATTTCTCCGAGTTCCCAGATGATAGACAAGCACCTGGTTGCCTGGTTCAGCTTTGGATATTAAAAAAAGAATTCTTAAAATTCTGCGTTGCGTAATTGAGGGCCCCGTAGCGTAGCAAGTCATTTTGTATTATCCCTCTTTTCGGGAATTCTCTATGGATTTTTGACAGGCCCTACCGCTAAACACTGAGGTCTTTCATGGAGTGTCGCCTTAGTTGCAATTTAGTGCAGGGAGATTAACATAATTTGATTTATTGATATGCTTTGTGAAGCAATATTGCGCCTAAAGCTTTTAAATTTTATCTCTATTTAAAAGTTTATATATTTTATCTTCTGTATAGCTTTTCTTATACTTTGTACGTCTTCAAAAACACTACCTTTTTATAATAACGACATATATGAGAAGGCGCACAGTTCAAACCCGTGTACATTAAAAATAAAATGTATGTACTTTGGTTGTATGCGTCAAATCATTTAGGAATACCAATGTTCGAAATCTGTTGCTATTTAATTAATTTAAAAGAACTACATTTCTGGCAATTTCAGTTATTTAAATTTACAGAACAAATCCCCATAACTTTGCACCCACTAGAAAAATTGATTATAGACTAACATTTATGGAATGACTTGCAGTCACATTTTAACCCAAAAATAAGCAGGCAGAAAATATTATTCTCTTGAATCAGGTGAAGAAAAATATTACATTATTTTAAAATTTTGATATCATTGCGTGTAATGCAATTCCTTCTTGAATGAGCTGATACAATATATATTCTTCTTCTTCCTCCGAAACTTAACCCAATACGTATTCTGAAAATCGCAGGAAATCAAATTCCGAAAATGCATTTTCGAGTAGTAATTTCAATCCAATATTATAATATTATATTTGCTATATGTTTCATATTCGCTGAGTTTATTGAGTAATAAAGAAACATTTCTCTATATAAAATCGGAATAGAACTAAGGATCTGAATGATTTACATTTAGGATGCTTAGAGTATTCTCCTGAAATTGGTTTTGAGGTGTAGCCTAAGTTACCATTTCTGGAAGACTTCAAAATAAAGAAATTCAATATTTTTATAGATGCATGCAATGTTGGATAATAATGGAAAGATGAATTACAGACTGATAGCGAAATAAAAAAAAATCCATGTTATTCTTTAATAAGATTTTATCTGAGTGGAAATTTCTGCAGTTATATTACAACAATGTGTAATTTAATATGAATGCGTACCCGTTTAATGGTTGAAGAAATTTAGTTCTTTTAATAACAGATTTGTTTTCTTTTGATATATTGCCTTAATTTCGTTGGCATATTTTAATATGCACGTACATATACGTTCTTACAGATACCACAATAAATATTCTAGGCCGTATATATACGGCCTTGCCGCTTAGAGGGTTAAAGTAGTGAACGTGCGGGACATATATGTCCCAGCCCCCGGGAAAAGGTTAAGGCATGATCAAGGTAACAATTTCACTACATTCAGAGTGATATAGGCTTTTTTTACGCAAAAGCTTTACAAACAACCATTATTCCAGATATTTCTCTAAGCACCTCAACAAGCAGCTAACTTCCACTGATAATTGTACATGGACAACATTAGTCTGAAACAAAAATGAGTAATGAAGGCTTATTTTGTAAACTTTTCATTTTGTACAGTAAGAAATGACGTCAGTTAGAGCTACATATATCACTTATAATCGCGTTCTGAAAGGACACTATTTATTTACCTTGTGAAAGCTTTCAGAGGCTGTCAGTCTAAGAGAACAAATACGTACAGACCGTGATAGCTAGGGGAAGCCTATTAGTAATCGCGTAACGTATATGAAAATCCACAAAATCCCCATGCTGTTCAAGCGTCCCAAGGTCTAAAATAAGGAAGAATAAGATTCACTTATGACAAAGTGCACTACGGCTACCTGCCTAAATGGAAGGATGGCATAATAAACGAAATTATATGGAAAACTGCCTCATATTCCCTTTAAACATGGAAAAACTGACGAAAACACCCATTGTGTAGCCGTCGGCCGGCATTTGGTTTTAAGTCAAACTACTAGTTTTTAGCCATTTTTTCCTCTCGACCACTCCAGTGTGTGATTTACATTTTCAGAAACTGGTTCACTAATCCAAAAACCGAAAACGCATTGCTAACACTATGCTTTCCTTATAAAAGTACATAAAATTTAAATAAAGGGATATAAAAAACAATTACACTAAATAAAAATACAAAAATTCGTTTTAAAATCGTTTACTTATACACCTCTACAATTCTCATTGAATAATCTAAATGTTCAGCTGTAGGAGTAATTGTCTGGTTCGTTATTAGCTGTCAAATCTTTTTAAAGTATTTATAGAATAAAGCAACAGGCTGACAGAAAACGTCATAGCCATTTATTAAAAGATGACGTCTACATATATAAGGTGCCATCAAAACTAATCTATGTTGTTTCCGTTATTTCTTTAGTTTGGTTTCTCTTCTTCCAACTCAGCTTTTAGACAAGATGCATATTTAACCCCTTAACTGCCGCGGGCGTATATATACGCCTTGCTCAGCCGATGCGTTAACTGCCCCGGGCGTATATATACGCCTTGCTCAGCCGATGCGTTAACTGCCCCGGGCGTATATATACCGTCCTTCCAAAATACTATCATTTGCTTTTCGCTGACTCGTAAAATTATCCGCAAAGCTTTGGAATGCAACACCACAATGACCTTGAGAAAGTATGCGAAGGACGATATTATTTCAATATTGAACGATACTGTATTAGAAGTGTGGGGAGAAACTGGAGAGAGGGATGTGTCTAAAGCGCTGAAAGTAATGACTGCGCGGTATTGGCCGATGTTGTTTAAAGTAAAACGTATTTTTTTTATTATTCTGCGTCCTCCGTTTTCGTTTACTTTTTGTAGTAGGTTCAGGAATAAAGGAATATATAACGGATGTTTCAAAACCATTTATCTTTTTTGAATTATTTTTTTCTGAACTGCTCGTGCTTCATATTGTTACTGAAAACTAACCGTTTCGTAGACCGTTTTAGACGAGTATATGAACCAACAACTTGCAAGCGAAAAATCAAGAACAAAATCGTGGCATTCAACTAATTGAGAAGAAATATAATATGTTTTTTTAGGCATACTGATTTCACAAGCTATAACACTGAAACTTGATATTACACTTAACTGGTCTAAAAATAAGTTGATCGAAACTCGATTTTAGGGATCTTTTTTATTATAAAAACATCATTTTTATTATACTGGCCAAACTGACTTTCACGCGCTTTCTTTGAGTTCCTTCTACTTTGAAATTTTACTGCAAGCTGAAATAGAACTTCTAATGTTCGCTTATTACGCATTTCGAGGAAGTCTTGGGCTGACGGTAGTAGACGGGGTAGGATTGCTTCAATAAGTTCATTATCGGGACTTTTCCCGTATAATAAATTAAAAATATGAACTTTTCTTAAAATGAACTCCGTCAAATCTTCGAAACTACCTTGGTATTTACTATACAATTATGATTCTAGCTTCGCACGGTCTTTAACGACTGGAAATGTTTTTAGTAATGCAGACTTGAAATTTTCCCAGTTATATGATTGAGATCTTGAGTCCTCCGAACAAGAACTTTCCTATACTCTTATACCAGCTGAGGGCTTGACCTTTTAGGGCTGCATTAGCGATGGTCACTTTTTGTAGCTGATTCACAGGATGTAAGGTGAAAATGTAGGTCCAATTGCTCCAAAAATGTCAGGACTGAGCCCTTGCCGTCAAATGCTGCTAGATGCACGCAACGTTTCCACGAGGAATGCAAACCTTTCTACTGGATTCGTGGATGTCTAAGGGACCTGAAAGGCAGGAGGGATCAATGTAAATTTCTCGGATTTTAACGACATGGTCCGTTGAAAAACATTTCGGGC